TTTTATGCAGTGATTTCCAGCCTGTTACTGTACTTATTTTTGATGTTCAGAATGTTCCTGATTAAGTCAGTGCAACCCCATTCAGGCAGGTTTCTGTGGCCTTTTGCAATGTTGCCACCATTCATTGCAGTCTGACTCCACATTCTGGGTCCCCCCATCCTACAGACGCCCTCCTTACCTCACCTAGGTGCTGACTCCCCATGCTGGACTGTCCTCACCCTGCTTGGGTTCTAATACCCTACACTAGACCACACAAACACATGGATGCCCTGCTGTCTCTGTTTGGACTCTGACTCTCCTCATTAGGTATCAGAGCCATCCACCCACAAGCCCCCACCATGGATAACTACTTTACTGTGTCTTACATAATGACTTTAGGTCTCAATTGTTAAGAAAGAGGAAAGGGAGCAGTTGGTATTATATGAGTAGAAGTGGAGAGTAAAGTATTTGGAAAATTGGCAAAAACTTCGTGTTATGAAATTGGCTGTCATGGTCAATGGTGAACAATGAAGAGAAATGGAGAGATCAAGAATAGGACTGGAGAGGATATGATTTTGTCTTGGTTACATGATTTTTAAGAACTACCTCTGATTGGAAACATCCTCTGTATAGGGGGCAATGTTGTTCTGCAGGTGTGGGAGGACTCTTCATAGTAGAGGCAATTGAGGAGGTCAATTTGGATGCTGTTGGCTATGGAGAGAATGAATATAATGACCCATGTACAGTTAAAAGTGCGTTTTTCTAGGAACTTTGAGGAATAGAACCCTATTAAGAAGAAGAGCAACACATCCAAATAAAGGAGACAGAGAATTGTCTAGAGAATCAAGATAATGCTGAGTCACGGATGCCAAAGTGTAAGAATCATGTAATCTTAGAACCCATCTAATTTGGAAATTCTAAGGCTGTCTAAAATCCAACCTATTACAGGCATAGATACTGACACTAAGGCCCAGAGAAATTATGTGTCTTTTCCAGTGTCATACAGAGTAGTTAGTAACAGCACTGGGAATAGAATCCTGCCCTTTTGTTTTTCTGTTACGTTATCCTTCCCTTCCAGTAGGAGCTGGTGGTACAAAACCTGATGATAGGGCTGGGAAGACCAGAAATAAGACCTAATAGTTGGTGACAGATGGGTGCTGGTGATTTCCAAGAAGAAATCCTGTGGAGTGGTGGGAATGAGAGTCAGATTGTGATTGACTGAGAAGTAAGTGAGCAATGAAGAGGAGAAACTTGGGGATTGTGGGCCCAGTTTTTGCTCTTGGGCGGCATCTGTTTTGGTGATAAACAAGAAAGGAGTGGAGGGAAGAGATGGTAACACAAAGAAACAGCAGGATCAGAATACGGACTTGGTTCAACAGGTAAAATATGAAGAGAGCAATGGATTTGTGCAGATGTTGAGACTGAAAATGTAAGAGGGAGAGAAGATAACCGGGAGGGGCAGTGTCCTGGGAAGGTTGAGGATAGAAATGAGGCTGCAGTTAGCCTCAGGCTCAAATATTTAACTGCCAGATTGAACCAATATGTTTTGACCATTGCTAGTGGCGGGTGTTCACTATCTTACAGATATGGAAACTGAGGCAGTATATGTGATTTGCCTAAGGCCACAAATAAGGTAAATGAAGAAACAAATATTTGAGATAGAGAAGAAGAAAGCCGAATGTCCTGAAAAATTAAACAGCCAGATGGATCTTTTAAAAACACAAATCAGATTATGTGGCTGATACAAAGCCCTCTGGTGGCTTCTCATTGCAAGCAGCGTAAAGTAAAATAATTTAGGGTCTATAAGGTACCAAATTATCAGGCCCTTGTTATTATCTGTTTCCTTCTTGCTTATTCCACACACTCACCTTTCTGTAGCTCCAAGCAACTAAGATCCCCTTTTTCCTGTGCTTACTGGTCTCTCAACCAAGAAAATTCTCCCTCCAGATTTTGATTTCCTGCCTCTTTCTTATTATTCAAGATTAACTCAAATGTCAGCCTCTCAGCGAGGCCTTCCCTGACTTCTGCCTTCTAACACATCATCCTCTTTTATTGTCTTCATAGCACATACTTTCCAGAACCATCTTCACTGACTTTGTTTACTTCATTTCCCTTAATTAGAATGTCAACCTCCTGAGAGCAAGGGCCTCATCTGGCCTGTTTACCAGTACATTTGCCATGCGTGGAACAGTGCCAGGTACACTGATGTTCAGTAAATATTGAATGAATGAATGAATGGTTTAGCAGAGGGACTTGGGGGTGGCTGGGCATGTATCTGGCATAACTAGATAAATATTGATTATGTGATATTAATAAAATTATTGTTAAATAACAGGGAAAGTTCTACTGAGATTAGCAAAAAATTGTTGTGACCTCTATCAGCATATTTTTAGGATTTTTCACAATATAATTAATAAATGCTGTTCCTGCTTTTTCTCATGTCAATATAGTAGAGTTGTTGGTAATGGTGTATTCACATTCTTAGTCTTTATTATGAGATTGCTTATTTATTTTTAATTTACAAACAGTAAAATTCACCCTTTTTGGTATGCAGTTCTACATTTTTGCCAAATGTGTAGTTATGTAACCACCACCAATCAAGATACAGAACAGCTGTGTCATCGATCAAAATTCCCATGTGTGGCCCCTTCTCCATGCCCCTCCCCTTACTCCTGAACCCTAGTGACCACTACATGTGCTCTATCCCTATAATTGTTTTTTCTAGATTGTTTTATAAATGTAATAATATCTTATGTAGCCTTTTGATTCTGGCTTTTTTCATTTAGCATAGTGCACTTGAGATTCATCCATGTTGTTGCATGTATTAGCAGTTTCTTTTTATAGCTGAGTGATATCTCATTTATGGCTGTCCCACATTTTTTTTTTTTTTCATCCATTTACCTATTGATGAACCATTTGGGTTGTTTCCAGTTTTGGCTACTACAAATGAAGCTCTAAGTATTTATATTCAAATCTTTGTGTGGACATATGCATTGTTTTTTCTTCAGTAAATACCTAGGAGTAGAATGGCTAGAACATATGGTGTAGGTTTAGTTTTTAAGAAACTACCAAATTGTTTTCTAAAGTGGTTGTACCATTTTGCATTCCCAGTATATGGGAGTTCCAGTCCATTACAAACATTCTTGCCAACACTTGATAGAGTCAGTCTTTTTAGTTTTAGACATTGTAACAACTGCGTAGTGATATCTCATTGTGGTTTAAATTGGCATTTCCCTAATGTCTTCATGACACTGAACATCTTTTCATAGGCTTATTTGCCATCCATATGCCTTCTTTTCGTGCCTTTTAAAACTCTTTTGCCTGTTTTTATTGAGTTTTTTGTTTTCTTCTTTTTGGTTTCTATAATCAGTGTATTTTAATGTAAGCTTTTTGGTAGAAGACCTAAAACTAAGAAAAATACCTATTTAAAATTTTGTATCGACAGAGGGAAAAATAATAGGCAATTTTCAAGTTATTTAGTACCCGCTGTGTTATTAATATGGGTGAGCAAACCAAATGAGTATGAAACAAACCATATGTCCCCACTGTATTCCTATTTAGTTGGAGTGTATGCAGCCTTTTTTTTTCTTTTTTCTTTTTTCTTTTTTTTTTTTTTGGTAACTAATTATGAGTTTGGTTGTGTGTTGCAGATAAGAACTGTTATCAGAGATTAGCAGAGGAAGAGTTCTGTGTGGGCTAGGATAGTCAACGAAAGCTTCATACAGGAAGTGAAAGTTCAGCTGACATTTGAAGATTGGTGGCATTTCGGTGGGGGGGAGAGTGGGAAGGTATTCAAGGAATATGTACTAGCACAAGTCAGGGTGTGTAGACAGGACCAACGAAGCCTGCTTGGAGGGGCTTAATAGTAGTTGGGGAAAGTAGGTTTTAGAAATCTGTGAATGCTGAAATGAAGTGTTGGGTACTATTAATATAGCATTACTAAACATTGTTTTTAACATAGGAATGACGTAAAAGGGGCAGAGAGGTTAATCTGATAAAAGAGATAGGAAATAGCGGCTGAGACAGAAATGTGGTTGAGAAGCTGTCATATTGGTAATTGTGGCAGGATAAGGGCTGAGTGGTTAGACTGGTGCGCAAGGCGTAGATATTTGAGACAGTTTAGAGGAAGAAATAATTGAATGCCAGGTTATCTGACCTGAAGTCCGTTCCTTTTCCACTGCACAACTAAGCCATGTGTATTAACAGCACCACAAAAAGTAGATTGTCAAGAGGTATGGAAAGAAAAACTCAGAGCTTTATGGGAACAAGGAACTTGATAATTTCAATACCAAAATAGAATACTTTTTATTAGACTACAGAAAAAAAAAAAAATACCCCCAGGAAATGGAAACAGAAAGAGCCAACTACAGGTTTGGCAAAGTTGGAAAGCAAACTGGTGAAAGATTATGTAAATGAATTAGAGATAGTGACATATGGAATTCTGATATGCATACAAGGATATAAAGGAACAAAATCTCAGCTTGTTTGGAAGTCTGTTAATTGTGTCCTCAAGTAACTGGTGTTTGAATGCACAGTGCTCTTCCAAAAGTGGAAATTTGCTTATATTCCTCTATCACATGGTAGAATTTGTATTTACTTAAAAAATATTTTTCTGATACGTTTAACAAGAGAATCTGGGTACAAAGTTTGGGAGTGTAGAGATGGAATGGGAACAGATATTCTTTAGTTTATGCCAATTTGGATTCTCATTATCTTTCTTGAAATGGAAATTATATTCAGAAGGGCTTTTGTTCTTAGAAAATTTGAGGTATGACTGCAGAATTTATGGTCATATGATGCAAATTATTTTTTTCTCCATTTCTTTGTCATTTTTATCCCCATTCAAGGTAAGTATACATGTGAGTTATTCCTTTGAGACTTCTGGAAGCATTTTGAGTTTTCTATATGTGGTAAAGTATGATAATTTCATTGGCATATACCATGTATTTTGGACTTAGTTGCTATGATTTAGGTGAGCACAGCACTTTTTTCTCTTCCTAAGTACTTTTTTTTTTTTTTAGGGAGCTGAAGAAATTGACAGATGCCTAGAGTAGGGGAAGGAGGAGTTATTAACAGAGCAACCTTTCATTGTGAAAATCTAAAGCTGATAGCTCCTACATTTATATGACTTACGGAACATTTAGATCCATGGGTGGTTCTTAGATGTCCATCAGCAGGTACCCCCTACTTTTGAGCTAATGTTCATTTAAAAAACAAATGGTTTTTCTAAGAGTATAATTGTGTGAACTGTGCATTTTTTGAAGGATGGATTTGTTGCCAATACCTGAGAATGGAAGAAGTAAAGAATAAAAATCTAACTGTGAACATGGCCTACCCTCTGTGATTTCATAACACTGATTTTTTTAAAAATCTAATTCTTGCCAATTTTACTCTAGCTGGAACAAGCAAATCCAGTATTCTGAGGGTTTTAGGGAAAGTAGACATAAAACCAGGTAAAAAAAAAAAATTATTGGGAAAATGATTAGATTTCCATGACTGTCGAAGTCAGTGCACAGTCTGTTGCAGAGATATAAGTGATACTGAGCATGCTAACCTGAGTTATTTCAAGGTTTTGAATCAATGAAAAATGATAAAACTTTTCTTGTCATGCTATTCTTAGTGTGTTGGGATGCTTTTGATATTTCAGTTGCTTGACTTTAAAAGGGGATACCCTTTCTGGGCCTTGTCCAAGAGATGGAAGAAACATTATTTTAAGACAAAAAAAAATGGGAGATTTTTAAAAGGAATGCAGTGCTGCCCATAAAAAACTATATGAAATACCAATTCTATTTACTAAATTCCCTGGAATCTAAAACAACATTGTACATTAAAAATACTTAATCCAAAAAGAGTTCTGAAGATGATGGTGATGGTTGTACAAACATGAATATACTTAATGCCGCTTAAAAATGGTAAATTTTATGTATATGTTATAACAATAAAAAAAACCCTTAATGCTGAACAAATGGGAGTGCCTTGCCCTGATGAAATTTGGCACACAATAAAAGATACCAAGGTGTACTAAAAGTCCAGTATGTGAGCTCTTCTAAGCAGAGACTAAGTTGGGACTTATCTCTGACTCTTCTGCATTGTCTAATAAGTACAGTGTCATATATGTGCTCTGTCCAGTACTGATTTTTATTCAGCAAGCATTTATTAAGCACTTGATTCTGTCAAAGCATAGTCCTGGATGTGTGATCAGAGCAAAGAATGAGGAATTCCTTGTCCTAATCTAGGTACATTCAAGATCCTATTACAAAGTAGATTGTGGTAGGTATTATTCTAGAGGTACCAAATTATGTTTTGAGAACATGGGGAAGGAACACTAAAAAATTAAGTATTAATTTCCTTAATAAAATTAGATTATGGTCATAAGTGAATTTAATGTGATTAGTCAGTACTCCTTGCTAGCAAATAGCACAGGAACCCATCTCATAATACTAGTTTAAATAAAATGGAATCTCTTGGCTCACAAAACAGAAGAAGTTCAAGGGGTAAAACTCAGGCTTGGCTAGACCCTAGGTCTCAAATGGTGTTGTCATAAATTTATTTGTCTCCATCTGTTGGAGCTTTTTTCTTTTCATTCAGCTTTTATTGTCAGGGGCTATGACCAGCATCACTCTGGGCTTACATTTTCTTTAGTTATTGATCCCAGTAAAAGGAAAAGCCTCTTTCTTGGTAGATTCTGATTGGACTGACTTGGGTCACACATCCAACCTTGAGTAGAGATAGTGCATGTATGTGCACATGTGTGTGTGCATAGTATATGTGTGTGGGTGGACGTTGCTTGGCTTCACCCAATCCCATGGAGTAAGAACACGGGAAGATGGTTCTCCAAAGAGTCTGGACAAACAAAATCTGTTCTGTAGATCAGTAGTTTCAGAAACTGATCATGCGGGCCGGCCTGGTGGTGCACTGGAGAGTGCGCTGCTTGGGAGCGCGGCGGCGTTCCCGCCGAGGGTTTGGATCCCATGTGGAGACCGGTTCC